GCTGTTTCTTTCGTGACCGCACTGCCCTTGAGCAGCTTGCTCGGCCAGTTGCAGTCTCCCTCGCTGACCCCTCTGGGGGTCCGGTCATTGCGACCTCCTCCACTGTCCACCCTTGTCCTGCGGTCCCGTCGGGCACACTGTCAAGTCTCTACCTCCCCTCGTTCTCTACGAACTTGGTGGCGGGTTGTGCGCTCCAGGACGGGGGTGTCCACCAGTTCACCCCTGCCTACGAGCGCGTGACACACTGCACGTGTGCTCGGACGGGTCGCCACCTGGCTACCTTCACTCGGCAGCCGGGGTCGGACCTGTACACACTGACCACTGAGTCCCCTCAGGTAGCTGCGTCTGCGTCTGCGTCAGGTCAGCTGTCGGCCCCCTGCTCGTGTCGCTCTCTGTCGCACGAGACCGTCCTCTGGCACCACCGCCTTGGTCACCCGTCAGTGCAGCGCCTTCGTGGCATGCACTCCCGGTACCTTGTCTCTGGTCTTCCCAGGGTTCTCCCTCCCCTCCCACCCTCGCCTGCTCCTCCCTGTCTTCCCTGTGTCGAGGGGCGGCAGCGCACCGCTCCTCACTCCTCCTCGTTTCCCCCGACGACTGCTCCCCTGCAGACCCTCCACATGGACGTGTGGGGCCCAACCCGCGTCCGTGGACAGGGTCACGAGAGGTACTTCTTGATATTTGTTGACGACTACTCGCGCTACACCACGGTCTTCCCCTTGCGCACCAAGGGTTAAGTCCCTGATGTTTTGATCCCTTGGATCCGCGCTGCCCGTCTCCAGCTCAGGGAGAGGTTCCACTCGGACTTTCCTGTTCTGCGTCTGCACTCTGACAGAGGTGGGGAGTTTTCCTCCGACCTCTTGAGGGACTTTTGTCGTGGGGAGGGCATTGAGCAGTCGTTCACGCTACCGACCTCTCCACAGCAGAATGGGGTTGATGAGCGCCGCATTGGCTTGGTCATGGAGGTCGCTCGTACCTCCTTGATCCATGCGGCTGCCCCCCACTTTCTGTGGCCGTTTGCGGTCCGATACGCTGCGCATCAGCTCAACCTCTGGCCCCGTGTCTCCGTTCCGGAGACTTCGCCGACACTGCGTTGGACGGGAGAGGTTGGTGATGCGTCGGTGTTCCGGGTCTGGGGATCTCGTGCTTTTGTCCGCGATACGTCCGCGGACAAGCTCTCCTCCCGCGCTGTTCCTTGTGTCTTCCTTGGCTTTGTCCCGGACGCGTCTGGTTGGCAGTTTTACCACGCCACCTCGCGCCGTGTCCTGCCCTCTCAGGACGTCACTTTCGACGAGTCGGTCCCCTACTACCGCCTCTTCCCCTACCGCACTGCCCCGCTCCCCCCCCCCGCCTCTCTTCCTCGCACCAGGTGCTGCTGTGGTAGACCCCCTCCCCCCTCAGGGTGCCGCTCCCTCAGGTGTGTCCCAGGTAGACCCGGTTGAGCCTGTCGAGGTAGCTGTCGACTCTCGTCCTGCTATGGGTGCTGAGCCTGAGCGTGCGGAGCCTGGTGGTGCGGAGCCTGGGGGTGCGGAGCCTGGGGGTGCGGAGCCTGGGGGTGCTGAGCCTGAGCGTGAGGAGTCTGGGGGTGCTGAGCCTGAGGGTGCTGAGTCTGGGGGTGCTGAGCCTGAGAGTGCTACGTCTGAGGGTACTGAGCCTGGGGGTGCTGCGAGTGACCGTGCTGCGCCTGGAGGCGCTCCCTCTTCACAGCAGCTGCGGGAGTGGTACTCGCGGTACTGCAGCCTCAGGAGGGGCGCTTCTGGGGCTAGGGGTGCTGCTGGAGCTGGTGCTCGTGGTTCCCCGCCTAGGCGAGAGCCGCCCTCTCCCCAGCGGCTCCGAGAGTGGTACGCTCGGTGCTGGAGCTGCTGGAGGCGCTGCTGGTGCTGGAGGTGCTGCAGGTGCTACTGGAGGTGCCACTGGTGCTGGAGCTGCTGGAGGTGCTGCTGGTGCAGGTGCTGCTGGAGGTGCTGCTGGTGCTGGAGCTACTGGAGGTACTGCTGGTGCTGGAGCTGCTGGAGCCGCTGGTTCTGGAGGTGCTCGTACTGGAGGTACTGGAGCTGCTGGGACTGGAGCTGCTGCGGGGGTTGGAGCTGGAGGTACTGGAGCTGCTGGGGTTACTGGTGGTGCTGCGGGAGTTGGAGCTGGAGACCCTGGGGCTGAGGGTGCTGGTGCTGTCTCTGCTGGTTCAGGAGGTGCTGAGCGGCAGCGGCCGTACTACGTTCCGCTCCTTCAGCAGGTTCTTGGCCTCCCGCCCTCCACTGGTCCTTCTCCTCCCCCTCCTGAGTCCACCACCTGTCCAGTCGCAGTCACAGTTACCGCTTGCCTCTCCGCTGCCTGGTCCTTCTCCTTACGCTGGGCCGACTAGAGGTCTTACGGAGCGTCGTGAGCCTGAGTCTCGTCCTCCGTCGCCTGAGTCTCGTCCTGCGTCGCCTGAGTCTCGTCCAGAGTCGTCTGTCCGCGCTGTCCGCACTGGTCGTCGTGTTCCGCGTCAGCGTCCTCCTCCTGTCCTTGGCACTCACTATATGACTCTGCGTCCTTCCACTGCTCCACAGCGTGTCCCTCTGCCGTCTCCTCCTGCGTCCTCTCTTCCTGACGGTCCGGACCCGGAGTCTGACTCTCTTCGTGCTGCCAGTCCTACTGTCACGCGTTTCCTCGCCACTGTTGTCACTGACCCTACCTTTGAGTCCTCTGCTGCGTCTGCTCTAGTCGCTGAGTTGGTTGACTTTGCTGCCGCCTGTCGTCTAGACTACGCCGCTAGCCTTGTTGCTGAGTCTGAGTCTGTCTGTCCTCCGTCCGTCGGGGGTGAGTGTGCTCTTGGCACGGACGTCCTAGAGGACAGACAGGAGGAGTTTGAGTGCTTTGCCGCTGCTTTACCTCATCTCGTGTCCATGCTGATTGCCCCTGAGGGAGACCCGGATGCACCAGACATCCCGACCCCGCGCTCTTACGCAGAGGCGATAGAGGGTCCCTACTCCTCTCAGTGGCAGACAGCCATGGACGCAGAGATGGCTTCCTGGAATTCCACAGGCACCTACGTCGACGAGGTTCCCCCACCTGGGGCGAACATCGTCAGTGGCATGTGGATTTCCAGGGTGAAGCGGCCGCCGGGTTCTCCGCCTGTCTTCAAGGCGCGTTACGTTGCACGAGGCTTCAGTCAGCGAGAGGGAGTTGACTTCTTCCAGACCTTCTCCCCGACCCCGAAGATGACCACTCTTCGGGTTCTGCTGCACGTCGCCACTCAGCGTGACTACGAGCTCCACTCTCTTGACTTCAGCACTGCTTTCCTACAGGGCAGCCTGCACTAGGAGATCTGGCTGCGCCGCCCACCTGGCTTTACTGGGTCGTTCCCTGCTGGTACCCAGTGGAGCCTCCGGCGGCCAGTCTACGGTCTCCGCCAGGCACCCCGTGAGTGGCACGACACACTGAGGACTACTCTTGCTGCTCTTGGGTTTGCTCCTTCTACTGCTGACCCGTCGCTGTTTCTACGCACCGACACCACTCTGCCGCCGTTCTACGTTCTCGTGTACGTAGACGACTTGGTCTTTGCTACTGCTGACACTGAGGCACTCGCCCACGTGAAGTCGGAGCTGCAGAAGAGACACACGTGCACAGACCTGGGTGAGCTGACAAGCTATCTTGGCTTGCGGATCACCCGGGACAGAGCACAGCGCACCATCACCTTGACTCAGTCACACATGGTGCAGCAGGTCCTTCAGCGCTTCCGCTTCACGTACTCCTCGCCTCAGTCCACTCCTCTGCCTACCGGTCACTCGCTCTCAGCTCTGCCTTCGGATGAGTCCGTAGAGCCGAGTGGCCCGTATCCAGAGCTTGTGGGCTGCCTCATGTACCTGATGACCTGCACTCGACCTGACCTTGCATACCCTCTTAGCATCCTAGCACGCTATGTCGCTCCTGGCCGTCACCGGAAGGAGCACATGGATGCCGCAAAGAGGGTGTTGCGCTACTTGTGCAGTACGTCGGGCATGGGGCTTGTGCTTGGAGGACGGAGCGACGTTGTCCTCACTGGGCACTCAGACGCTTCTTGGGTTGACGACCAGGCTACGCAGCGGTCGTCTCAGGGTTACACCTTCAGCCTTGGCTCTGGTTCAGTTTCTTAGCGTTCTACACGCTCGTCTTCAGTTCTCAGCTCCAGTTGTGAGGCTGAGATCTACGCCACAGCCATGGCTGCACAGGAGTTACGCTGGCTCACCTACCTGCTGACCGACCTGGGAGAGCGGCCTCGTTCTCCTCCAGTGCTGTACGTCGACAACAAGGCCGCCATTGCCTTGTGTCAGGAGCACAGACTGGAGCACAGAACGAAGCACATCGCTCTGCGCTACTTCCTTGCTCGAGAGTTGCAGCAGCGTGGTCAGCTTCGTCTTGCTTACGTGGCCACTCGGGCCAACACTGCTGATGTGTTCACCAAGGCGCTTCAGCCTTGTGATCATCAGCGTTTCTGTACTGTTCTAGGCCTTGTGCCTACTGTGCCTCACTTGCTTACTTCTTGACTCTGCTTGTACTGTGATCTCTATATATATATACCTGCATGCTTACACTTGCTAGGTTGTGATCACTGTACCTCTTGTGCTCGGAATTTGTGTGGTTTCCTTGAGATCCACCCTGAGCTTGCTTTGCTTTGCTTTGACTGGTCTTGTGACCATCTGGTTGTCTCCCACTTTGTCTATGGGGGTGTGTCAAACATTGTACATGTTTATATTGTGTAGGCTATAGTGGGTTTAGCCTTAGAGAGTACAACACATTGCTAGGGTTTCCTACTTGTATCACCCTGCTGCCTAGTTCATTCATTCTCGTTCATACACCCTCCACTCCCATTCCATTGGTCCCCACACGCAGGCAACTTGAGGAAGCCGCTAGCCGAACTCGTCCTTAAATGGATTGATGAGTCGTGGGTCGACGTTCTTGAGGAGATGGTGAGGAAAGCATTCCTCACCTGTGGCATCTCCAACGCCGAGGACGGGAGCGAGGATCATCTGATCCTCGCTCATATGCGGGATAATGGCGAGGTGGATGTGCTGGAGGACGTGATGGAGGAGGAGCAGGATGAACTGGTCCCCAACCCGTTCTACCCGGCCCCCGTGGTCGCCCCGGCCGATGCGACCGTCGAGACAGAGGAGGAGGCCGTGCTGGCAGCTGAAGCAGACGAAGCCGATGAGGAGGCTGTACCTCCTAAGTCCGACTCGAGCGAGTAAGACGATGGTCCCACGGGCGACGCAGAAGAGTGGAGCGACGAAGGGGACGAGTGGTGGGCCCCTGGTCGCTATGAGGGGGCAGAGGTAGAGGAGTGGGTGGCGGGGGACGAAGATGACTAGCAAGGAGGGGGCAGAATCCAAGGTGGCTGGTGACGATCCTGGCTAGCTGGGTGTTGAGCATTAGCCTTGCTTGTAGTTTGTGACTCCAGAGGCCTAACATGTGCCATTGACTGATATTTTCATTAAAAAGCCACTTTTCAGGTCGGGGGGGGGGGGGGGGGTGGGACGGGTGGGGGTCTTATAATGTTTTCACCCCAAATGGGGCAACCCATAATAATGTACCCCCCCCCCCCCCCCTTATTAAAGACCCGGGTACATTATTATGGGGGGGTCTTATATCCGGGGGAATACGGTAAGTATTCGCTCATGCCTTCGCTCATACTTTGTACTCGTTTGACACTTTAGTGCAATCATCGCTACTTCGTTCCATTGCACCCGTAACAACAACTCATAACACTCTATAACATGTGCTGCCTCATGTTGATCAATTGCCTCTATTGGGCAATCCTCGTTACCTCACTCAATAACGCAGCTCTAGGCACAGCTAGTCGAAGACGTCGTGGGAAGCGAAAGTCGCGAGTCGCGCGAGAGTCTGTGAGTTGTGCGGCCGGCGCAAATTCGCTCAGGACGTTTTTCGCAAAGCACTTTTTGGAGTTAAGATTGGTCTCGAATAATTTCGCAACTAGCGGAAAAATAAATACTTTCGTTCCTGGCGGACGCGTGTATGAAGGCGGTGTGTTTTGAGCGGGAGAAGCACGCGTGACCCGCTCGGCCACAGCGCCCGAGCAGCACTTGCTAGGACCAAGTAGAGGTATTGCTCTGTGCCGCCCCGAGGACCGTCATGGCAGCCGCGCTCGCGGCACCCTCCGCTCTCCCCGAGCCTTCCCCGGCGGATCTGTGCGCGCTGCGCCGTCAGCTGGCCGGCAGTGAGACGGCGGCGGCGCTGCTGGCGCGGGTGCGGGCGCGCGGAAAGGCGCAGGGGGGCGCGCGCACGGGGTTCAGCGTCGTGGACGAGCACCGGGGAGTGGCGGAGGGGGGCAGCGGGGGAGTGACGGAGGTGGTGGGCGGCAGCGGTAGCGGCAAGACGGAAGTGCTTATGAGGGTGAGGGGCGAGAGGGTGTGATGGCATGGCGGCATGTGTATGGGGAGGGAATAAGGGATGCAAGTTGAGCAGGTGTGAGGGGGCGCACGAGGTACATCAGACATGCGCGCATTGCCTTCTTGCTGTGTCGCTTAGGTGTGCCAATCCAAGAATGCTCATGCCTCGTGCCTCTGTGCGTGCGTCACCATGGCACCCTCCCCCACGTGCACGCCATCAGCTGGCAGCGGCGCATCTCCTGCCACTGCCTCCACGCCCCGCCCACCCACCTCTCCCTGCTCGCACTGCCGCTGCGGGACTGGCTGCTGGTGGCGGCGGCGGCAGCGGCGGGGGCGCAGAGGGAGGGGGGGCGGTGGTGGCGTACATGGACCTGGACGCCCGCTTCCACATGCCGCGCTTCCTGCTCCTGCTGCACGCGCGCGCCACACACGTGGGTGGGGGGCGCGCAGGTGGGTGAGGGGCGCGCAGGTGGGTGGGGGGCGCGCAGGTGGGTGAGGGGCGCGCAGGTGGGTGGGGGGCGCGCAGGTGGGTGGGGGGCGCGCAGGTGGGTGGGGGGCGCGCAGGTGGGTGGGGGGCGCGCAGGTGGGTGGGGGGCGCGCAGGTGGGTGGGGGGCGCGCAGGTGGGTGGGGGGCGCGCAGGTGGGTGGGGGGCGCGCAGGTGGGTGAGGGGCGCGCAGGTGGGTGGGGGGCGCGCAGGTGGGTGGGGGGCGCGCAGGTGGGTGGGGGGCGCGCAGGTGGGTGGGGGGCGCGCAGGTGGGTGGGGGGCGCGCAGGTGGGTGGGGGGCGCGCAGGTGGGTGGGGGGCGCGCAGGTGGGTGAGGGGCGCGCAGGTGGGTGGGGGGGCGCGCAGGTGGGTGGGGGGGCGCGCAGGTGGGTGGGGGGCGCGCAGGTGGGTGAGGGGGCGCGCAGGTGGGTGGGGGGCGCGCAGGTGGGTGGGGGCGCGCAGGTGGGTGGGGGGCGCGCAGGTGGGTGGGGGGCGCGCAGGTGGGTGGGGGGCGCGCAGGTGGGTGGGGGGGCGCGCAGGTGGGTGGGGGGCGCGCAGGTGGGTGGGGGGGCGCGCAGGTGGGTGAGGGGCGCGCAGGTGGGTGGGGGGCGCGCAGGTGGGTGAGGGGGCGCGCAGGTGGGTGGGGGGCGCGCAGGGTGGGTGGGGGGCGCGCAGGGTGGGTGGGGGGGCGCGCAGGTGGGTGGGGGGGCGCGCAGGTGGGTGGGGGGCGCGCAGGTGGGTGAGGGGGCGCGCAGGTGGGTGGGGGGCGCGCAGGTGGGTGAGGGGCGCGCAGGTGGGTGGGGGGCGCGCAGGTGGGTGAGGGGCGCGCAGGTGGGTGGGGGCGCGCAGGTGGGTGAGGGGCGCGCAGGTGGGTGGGGGCGCGCAGGTGGGTGAGGGGGCGCGCAGGTGGGTGAGGGGCGCGCAGGTGGGTGAGGGGGCGCGCAGGTGGGTGGGGGGCGCGCAGGTGGGTGGGGGGGCGCGCAGGTGGGTGGGGGGCGCGCAGGTGGGTGAGGGGCGCGCAGGTGGGTGGGGGGCGCGCAGGTGGGTGAGGGGCGCGCAGGTGGGTGGGGGGCGCGCAGGTGGGTGGGGGGCGCGCAGGTGGGTGGGGGGCGCGCAGGTGGGTGGGGGGGCGCGCAGGTGGGTGGGGGGCGCGCAGGTGGGTGAGGGGCGCGCAGGTGGGTGGGGGGCGCGCAGGTGGGTGAGGGGCGCGCAGGTGGGTGGGGGGCGCGCAGGTGGGTGAGGGGCGCGCAGGTGGGTGGGGGGCGCGCAGGTGGGTGAGGGGCGCGCAGGTGGGTGAGGGGGCGCGCAGGTGGGTGGGGGGGCGCGCAGGTGGGTGAGGGGCGCGCAGGTGGGTGGGGGGCGCGCAGGTGGGTGGGGGGCGCGCAGGTGGGTGGGGGGCGCGCAGGTGGGTGGGGGGCGCGCAGGTGGGTGGGGGGGCGCGCAGGTGGGTGAGGGGCGCGCAGGTGGGTGGGGGGCGCGCAGGTGGGTGAGGGGCGCGCAGGTGGGTGGGGGGCGCGCAGGTGGGTGAGGGGCGCGCAGGTGGGTGGGGGGCGCGCAGGTGGGTGAGGGGCGCGCAGGTGGGTGGGGGGCGCGCAGGTGGGTGAGGGGCGCGCAGGTGGGTGGGGGGCGCGCAGGTGGGTGAGGGGCGCGCAGGTGGGTGGGGGGCGCGCAGGTGGGTGAGGGGCGCGCAGGTGGGTGGGGGGCGCGCAGGTGGGTGAGGGGCGCGCAGGTGGGTGGGGGGCGCGCAGGTGGGTGGGGGGCGCGCAGGTGGGTGGGGGGCGCGCAGGTGGGTGAGGGGCGCGCAGGTGGGTGGGGGGCGCGCAGGTGGGTGAGGGGCGCGCAGGTGGGTGGGGGGCGCGCAGGTGGGTGGGGGCGCGCAGGTGGGTGAGGGGCGCGCAGGTGGGTGGGGGGCGCGCAGGTGGTGGGGGGCGCGCAGGTGGGTGGGGGGCGCCGCAGGTGGGTGGGGGGCGCGCAGGTGGGTGGGGGGCGCGCAGGTGGGTGAGGGGCGCGCAGGTGGGTGGGGGGCGCGCAGGTGGGTGGGGGGCGCGCAGGTGGTGGGGGGCGCGCAGGTGGGTGGAGGGGCGCGCAGGTGGGTGGGGGGCGCGCAGGTGGGTGAGGGGGCGCGCAGGTGGGTGGGGGGCGCGCAGGTGGGTGAGGGGCGCGCAGGTGGTGGGGGCGCGCAGGTGGGTGGGGGCGCGCAGGTGGGTGAGGGGCGCGCAGGTGGGTGGGGGGCGCGCAGGTGGGGTGAGGGGCGCGCAGGTGGGTGAGGGGCGCGCAGGTGGGTGGGGGGCGCGCAGGTGGGTGGAGGGGCGCGCAGGTGGGTGAGGGGGCGCGCAGGTGGGTGGGGGGCGCGCAGGTGGGTGGGGGGCGCGCAGGTGGGGTGGGGGGGGCGCGCAGGTGGGTGAGGGGCGCGCAGGTGGGTGGGGGGCGCGCAGGTGGGTGAGGGGCGCGCAGGTGGGTGGGGGGCGCGCAGGTGGGTGGGGGGCGCGCAGGTGGGTGGGGGGCGCGCAGGTGGGTGGGGGGCGCGCAGGTGGGTGGGGGGCGCGCAGGTGGGTGAGGGGCGCGCAGGTGGGTGGGGGGCGCGCAGGTGGGTGGGGGGGCGCGCAGGTGGGTGAGGGGCGCGCAGGTGGGTGGGGGGCGCGCAGGTGGGTGAGGGGCGCGCAGGTGGGTGGGGGGCGCGCAGGTGGGTGGGGGGCGCGCAGGTGGGTGAGGGGCGCGCAGGTGGGTGGGGGGCGCGCAGGTGGGTGAGGGGCGCGCAGGTGGGTGAGGGGCGCGCAGGTGGGTGGGGGGCGCGCAGGTGGGTGAGGGGCGCGCAGGTGGGTGGGGGGCGCGCAGGTGGGTGGGGGGCGCGCAGGTGGGTGGGGGGCGCGCAGGTGGGTGGGGGGCGCGCAGGTGGGTGAGGGGCGCGCAGGTGGGTGGGGGGCGCGCAGGTGGGTGGGGGGCGCGCAGGTGGGTGGGGGGCGCGCAGGTGGGTGGGGGGCGCGCAGGTGGGTGGGGGGCGCGCAGGTGGGTGAGGGGCGCGCAGGTGGGTGGGGGGCGCGCAGGTGGGTGAGGGGCGCGCAGGTGGGTGGGGGGCGCGCAGGTGGGTGGGGGGCGCGCAGGTGGGTGGGGGGCGCGCAGGTGGGTGGGGGGCGCGCAGGTGGGTGGGGGGGCGCGCAGGTGGGTGAGGGGCGCGCAGGTGGGTGGGGGGCGCGCAGGTGGGTGAGGGGCGCGCAGGTGGGTGGGGGGCGCGCAGGTGGGTGGGGGGCGCGCAGGTGGGTGAGGGGCGCGCAGGTGGGTGGGGGGCGCGCAGGTGGGTGGGGGGCGCGCAGGTGGGTGAGGGGCGCGCAGGTGGGTGGGGGGCGCGCAGGTGGGTGGGGGGCGCGCAGGTGGGTGAGGGGCGCGCAGGTGGGTGGGGGGGCGCGCAGGTGGGTGGGGGGCGCGCAGGTGGGTGGGGGGCGCGCAGGTGGGTGGGGGGCGCGCAGGTGGGTGGGGGGCGCGCAGGTGGGTGGGGGGCGCGCAGGTGGGTGGGGGGCGCGCAGGTGGGTGGGTGGCGCGCAGGTGGGTGAGGGGCGCGCAGGTGGGTGGGGGGGCGCGCAGGTGGGTGAGGGGCGCGCAGGTGGGTGGGGGCGCGCAGGTGGGTGAGGGGCGCGCAGGTGGGTGGGGGGCGCGCAGGTGGGTGGGGGGGCGCGGGGTGGGGCGCGCAGGTGGGGGTGGGGGCGCGCAGGTGGGTGGGGGGGGCGCGCAGGGGGTGGGGGGGGGCGCGCGCAGGTGGGTGAGGGGCGCGCAGGTGGGTGGGGGGCGCGCGCAGGTGGGTGGGGGGCGCGCAGGTGGGTGAGGGGCGCGCAGGTGGGTGGGGGGCGCGCAGGTGGGTGAGGGGCGCGCAGGTGGGTGGGGGGGCGCGCAGGTGGGTGGGGGGCGCGCAGGTGGGTGAGGGGCGCGCAGGTGGGTGGGGGCGCGCAGGTGGGTGGGGGGCGCGCAGGTGGGTGAGGGGCGCGCAGGTGGGTGGGGGGCGCGCAGGTGGGGTGAGGGGGGCGCGCAGGTGGGTGGGGGGCGCGCAGGTGGGTGGGGGGCGCGCAGGTGGGTGGGGGGCGCGCAGGTGGGTGGAGGGGCGCGCAGGTTGGGTGGGGGGCGCGCAGGTGGGTGGGGGGCGCGCAGGTGGGTGAGGGGGCGCGCAGGTGGGTGGGGGGCGCGCAGGTGGGTGGGGGGCGCGCAGGTGGGTGAGGGGCGCGCAGGTGGGTGGGGGGCGCGCAGGTGGGTGGGGGGCGCGCAGGTGGGTGAGGGGCGCGCAGGTGGGTGGGGGGCGCGCAGGTGGGTGAGGGGCGCGCAGGTGGGTGGGGGGCGCGCAGGTGGGTGGGGGGCGCGCAGGTGGGTGAGGGGCGCGCAGGTGGGTGGGGGGCCGCGCAGGTGGGTGGGGGGCGCGCAGGTGGGTGGGGGGCGCGCAGGTGGGTGAGGGGCGCGCAGGTGGGTGGGGGGCGCGCAGGTGGGTGAGGGGCGCGCAGGTGGGTGGGGGGCGCGCAGGTGGGTGAGGGGGCGCGCAGGTGGGTGGGGGGCGCGCAGGT